CTGAGTATGAGGTGATTTTATTTTAATAATCAGTGACTTTAATGGTTGTATCTACAATCACCACAGCACGAAATCTAAACACAGATTGCTTCTTGTTTGGTTTAGGCATCTGGTAACCAAAGTAACGTTTTTATTAACTATAATTCAATAAACCTGGCTAATGTACTTTTGTTAGTGTAAGGGGATTCGCGAAAATTGTAGAATTTTTACAGTCTAGATTACGAACTGATTTTAGCTAGACTGTTAGTGGAAACCTGGAAGCACTAAACAACCGTTTCTTCCTGGCATGAAACTTCACAGCAGTGCACATCCACTACTCCGCACCATGAGATCAAATCCAGCGTCTGTGGTCTGGATTAACCCTTATACTTACAAAGGCAGTGACCAAATGGAGACCTTTTTATTGACGTATTTTTAAATCACACTGGTTATTAAAAATTAGTTTCAACCAACTGTTTTATCATTTATATACACTTTTTATCTAAATGATTGACTTATTACTAGCTCCTGTATTAATTCGTATGTACATTTTCTGCCCACCGTATTCTTCAGTACCTTAGAAGCTCTGATAGTTTTAGTCTATTTTTCAGAAGAATGGTTAAATAACCCAAATACTATCACATGCAAATATAGGTCTATAAACTACTTAACTGACATTTAGAAATTTCATCATAACCGTATCCAATGATACTTTTATTGTCGATTGTGTACTTTAAACTGATATGTATTTTGTATATAACAGGATAGTTTATATCATTAGTGAACTGACAAGCACATAGATAGTAGTGTGAAAAAAGTAACAACAAATAGATATGCATATAAATACACCAGTGACTGATGCACGTCATTCATATTGCTATAATCACTACGAAAATTATGTAAAACATTCAGCCTATTACGTGATTTCTGTTCAGAGTATGGACGTGATTCGTTCAGTTATAACTAAATTTTCAAACATGTTTTGTTTGGGGTTGGTGACGAATAATTACATTTGAGTGTTTATAATAATATTAATATTATCATGATTATCAGACCATATAATGAACACTATAGTTAAAATGAAGTGAATATACTCCTAATAGCATACTTTATATTATAAATAGACAATATACAAATCACTATCCAATTTTTTTCTATCACGTCATAAATTCTAGCAAAAAACTAGACTATGGGTACAACACCATTTGTTTAAAACATACTTTTTGTGATATTAGCCAGTTTTTTCTTAAATTATTCAGTTGGTGTACTTAAAATCTTGATACAGATTCTCCGAATAAATGTAGGTCGCGGAAAGTATGCGGCATAATGAGTTCAATACTTTTCATCTTGTTAACATACTGATGGAAGGTAAACGATAGAACAAAATGATAATTTATTTATCATAATCTGATTTCATTTACTTTCAAAGTCGACAACATATATCCATATAAAAGACTAGTTGATTATCTTATGCGATAAAATAACAGATAAATATTGAAGCGAAAATGAAGTTGCGGACCCGTAAATAAGAGGTTACTGGAGTGAATCTTATTTTAAAGTAGGATGATTTGAACTCAAGTCATTGTTTCTGAATGAACAAGAAGATTTGTCAAAAAGTTTGATAACTTGATAGGAAGGTAATTTTTGATGGAAATGAGAGTAGTTATCAGAGAAGATTGTGTGACGTAGTCCTATCAGTTTCTTACTCAACGATCACATAATAAATAAATAGAACAATCACATTTTATTGATTTACTTAACCCAATCGACCCAAATCGGAACGTGATCTCTAATTTGTTTCACATCTAATCATTCAGTTAACCGAATAATTAAATTATTCGGTCTACATGACCTACATTGACTTGAATTATATCAGCATATCTCTGTGATTTCATCTTAATGCATATCCTACAGCTTTCGTCTTTGGATTAAATATATACGACCTTGTAAGTGTAAAATTGCTATTTAAAAAATGGGGACGACGAATAAATCTGATAATTCATTTGATCAGGCTGACAAAAGTTGTACCAACTACAAACAAGTAGCATTTATGCTTTTTTTACGGAGAACTATAACTGTTTAGTTGAATTAATTTAGTGGTTCTAACTCGCACATCATAAAATACCGTTTTACATTCTACGATTAGTTAGGTATCATTCGACTTCATGCCTATGTTCAAGAGTGGTCACGAGTTTCATGTCAAATTAAAGTATGATTTATAATTGAGGGTAAGAATATAAACTATAAAAGTGTAATTATAAAGTAAAACTGATTATGATCTTTTGTAAAATGATGATAGTTAACCCATTTTAGACACTCCAGTTGACAGAATTAAAGATATGTATCAAACGTGGATTGCCAATCCCTCAGCAGTGCATAAAATAATGATTCGACACCCCTTCGACCTACTTCCTTTGAGTTAAAGGAATTGGATTGAAAGGGTGTCGAGCCAATATTTTATGCAACGCTGAGGCATTGGCAACCCACGAACTCAAGCTCGAACTTTATATTCATCATACTTTTAGTATAAATATGAAGTGCATTTACCTGATGAATAATTCATTAATCTTTTTTTCCGCAGTGATATAATGCGCAATTTCAAAATAATGTCGTATAATATGTATCTCTGAATGTAGGTAAAGTAGACGGGATAATTGATATTTTTAAATACAACATGGAAAGTGATCACTTAATCGTTCTTACTAATATGTACAAATAGAAAACTAAAACCAATGCTTATATTTGTAACTATAACAATGTTCAAATGATTTTCGAGACCCGGTATTTTATAGTCTAGCATACTTTCCCACTATTTCTTACTCAAACTAGACATATTAAAGTTTCCCCGAACCATAAGAAAAATCTATACCTTTTATTCAAGGATTCCACCAAACCTCCGACCAAAATGATTATAAAACAGCTATCAAAGATTACCTCAGTTACGTCACTGACAATAACAATATTTATTTGGGACTTCGGTGCAAGCAAAGCATCTATAGAAACGACTTGTGGTTATCTCTTGAGAACACAATGAATCAACAGTTCAAAGCACTTTAATTTCTATGGAGACGTAACATGAATTTTGAAAATTCTTTCACTAAATTATTTGTAATACATTGTTATATTTTTTGAACCTGAAAGCAACTCAGTTCAAACATTGTAAACAAATGAGTAAAATGTTTTATAAACATACAGGCATCACAAAACTTATTATTCATGGGAAACTGACAAACCGAACTAACAAAATGGCTTACTTATCGTGATAAAGATTGTACATAAGAGCAGCTGGCATCTTAATTGTCCATCTGGAAATTCCAACATCTGTAGGACCAGCTTCTAGAACCAGAACTTTACTAGAATTTTTTGTTTTAGGATGTGGTAAACTTAAACGATTGGCCAAAACACATCCAGCTGAACCAGCTCCAATTATAATGTATTCATAGGAATTCCTAAAGTCATTGGATTTTGCTATCGGCGTTTTATGATTAGATACGCTACACGATGTCTTAAACAGACGTTTTGTGATATGTTTGTGATAATATTGGTGCTTTATAAGTCCATAATATTTTAGATAATATCCTTGTCCCAGCACTGAATTTAAGTAATTCATGAGGAGCAAAAACAATTATCTACAGTCAAGAAAACAGAAAGCATACTCTTATTAAAATTATTCATCAGTTGGGAGGAATAAGCATTTTTCTATTGTGTAGTTAAATCTGTTTGTTCTAAGAAAGTTCTGTGATAGATTTTTGGGTATAATTAAATCATATGAGATAAAGTACACACCGTCATATAACGAATCGTTAAATAAATCCTACATCTGTTTGTGAAATATGTGTAACAATATAATACTCCTAATTAAAGTACATTATAGTAAGATATTAAATGAGATAACATTAAAGCTCATAGAGTAAGAATCTATAAATAATATTCATACATTGGTTGAACAAACTAAATAACATATCACATTCTCATTTACATTAAAAGCGTTACCTTAAAAAGTAATATCATGTAGTAGATTAAGTGAGTTTCGATTGATTCAAGATCTCCTGGATAATTCAGTTTAACAAAAGAAATAAAGAATTTATTCGTCTTATTATTTAGTGGTTAGTGGTCTGTTCAAAATTAGCATTTTTTCTTAGTTGAATATCATATTAAAGCACCTATAGAATTATTAAATAACTAAATCCTTTCACATTATATTTCATTTCAAGTCTAGAGCTCTAATAAACTCAATAAAATACAAATATTTGCTAGAAGTAGGTACTCACCAATAAATAGAGTGTATAATTATTGTATATTGGCTAACAGATGCATGCAACAACTCATGTAAAACATCAGAAAGTAATAAATAACAACTAGTTTGAGTTTAGGAAATCGTGAGTTGTTGACTTTATCATCTAGAACGTAGTAATAATTAAACAACTAAACCAACGTGGTACTGCTAGAACGGTCTTAATTCAGTTCAATCTATAGGGATATATTCGTGCCAGTGATTGCTTAATTTACTTTGTATGAGAATTGTCTAGAAATAATGAGATTTGAAGTTCTGTTGACTTTTGTACATTTAAACGACCGGTGAACTATTAATCGTTTTAGGTTTAGATAAGCTAAGTATTTTCTTGGATTTTTTATTGAACCATTATTAGCAACGTTTTCTGAAAATCACCTGTTAAATGACGGACTTGTCAAAACACCTAGGCTGAATCAGGATTTGGGTCATTGTTTCCTTAGATGTTAGTCAGGAAATTTATAGACTAGAATATAAGACAGAAAGTTTAACAGGTTTTCAACTTCTCTTCATCATTACGTCATAAACATGGACTGTATCCAAGTTACTGGCAAGTGATTATTCTTAAAGCTTCATATCAACTACCCAGTCAGTATATCTGATCTCTTATGTTAATGAATAATGAAAACGAGTGAGCATTGCATGATGGAAGTTAATAAAAAAACACTAAGAAATGTTGAGTTTCAACAGACAATCTGCCAAACATATCATTCGAATTCACAAAAAGGAATTTTAGGTAAAATGCTTTTATTAGCATCAATCAACTTGATATCCAAATTATCCATAACAACCGTCATCGGAAATAATTGAAAAATGGTTATTACTGTCATTAAAAAATTTTCAAGGAAGATATTTCGGAAGAAGGAATTATAAAATAAGTTTACATCTTTTGTGGTATAAAGTACAAAGGAAATGAAATCAGAATTGAATAAAGTTTCTAAGAAGTATTCATAACTTAAAAAAATATGACACAATGAATTTGTTGATTTTGTACCATCCTTTTATGGATTGTTTTATTTCTTCCTTCAAACTACCTTTAATCAATGAATATATTAGGGAGATGAGATAAGTTTGGTAAAATTAGGTCTGAATAGGAGATTAGATCGGTTGCCGATGAAAATCCAGATAACAGTCCAACAGTAAGGCCAACCTTAGCCGATCGACCGGACATTAAGTCTGCAGGTGTATCACCGACAATGACTGTTTCTTCAGGTTTACACTACAAGAAGAAGAAGTGTCTTCAATATACTAATGAGCATTCAAATGGTTGAAAACACAGTGAAGGCAGAATATGTAAAAAAGTACCATCAATCTGTTTTGTTTTTATGCCATGTATGATCAGTGACAATAAATAACCAATCTTAAACAATCAATTTGATAATTTGACAGGCCGTGATCAGCGTAAATTAATGTTTAGGGAAATGTTTTGTTTATCACACAGTGAGATTTAATTTCTCATTGTAGTTGAGGACATTTAAATTTAAGAAATTTCAAGTGAATTAACTGCACATTATGTAAAGTCTGTTGACTTCGAAAATTCTTTTTCCTAAACCAATTATCATTTAGAACACGATATCAACTTCTTTCCAAAGCTATTATATTATACGTTTATACATAATTTATCCTCACAAAAGTTACTCTTTCATAGTGCGATCACTATTCTAGTTAATAACTTTATTTCGAATCTCCAAAACACTAGGCTATTCACACAAACGTGTGAATTCATCGATGGTATGTTTGACCCTGGAAGGGAGTGTGCGAGCTGTCACCATCTTTAAGCTGACCAACTTATTAAAATACTTTTATAAAGCAAAATCAACATCTAATAATAATGACTTTCACTTACGATCACAAAAGGTATGAATTAAAGTAAATAAAATATGACTCTGTCTAACAGTTGAGATTCATTTATGGTGGTCACGGATAACACCAACTTCAAACAATTTCTATAAATTCCCTGTTTCACTACCAGACGAACGATACTGATAGAAATATCAATAAAACTCTGACATGCGAAAACATTGAGTGATGGGTCTTAAATAATTTAAACAAAATCTAAAATAATAAAAGAAAAATCTCTTACTCCAACTTTGTCAATGATTTGAAGCACAGTATGTGGTAAAGGTTTTGGGTGACAACCGGCATCCTCAGCTGACACTATGATATTTATGTAGTCATGCAATTTTAGGTTTAACAAGAAATCGTCGCAGGCTTTTCGGCTGTCTGAACTATTTATAGCTACTTGTAGACCGATTTCCCTAAGTTTCTTAACTGTTTCAACTGTATCAGATATAGTTATACCTGGTATAGAGCTTGGACAGATCCATATCTAAAATTATATAACACGTAAATTGAAAGAAAACGAACAACAACTTACATATAAAACAAATTAACTAAACTATAGTAAACGATGCTTGAATTTCACAAATCGCTACATTTCTCAGTAACATTATTTTGAGCAACAGGAGAGCAAAATTAAAATATAATGCAACTATGTACGAGGAAGGGTTGAGGATTAGGTTACCAAAGAAATGGAAGACTAATAGCTATTTCCTTCAGAAGACACAGCTTGTTTTAAGTGTGTGGTGGAAATGGCCTTAACGAATCGCAAAAAACGTTAGTTTAACTATTGGTCAACCATTTTGGTAGACTCCAAAGTTCCTACATAGTGCTCTATGTCGAGTTCAGTTTTTTTCATTTTTGAAGTCTAGGTCCCACTGAAACAACCGAAAAAAATATGCCATTTGGTTTTATCGAAGGGTGGTCATTACTCTAGGAGTAGTTGCACAGTACCTTTATAGAAACTTTTTATAGAAGGATAACAGTTCGAATAACTTCTGTTGTTCGTCTGAGTACTCTAAGTAGTTAGTCCTCCTGAAAAATGCTGTGAAATTCGCCTCAGTTACTAAGTAAGTCAGAAACATAGCTAACCAGGCACAAGCCAGATTGCCACAAAGCACATTAAAACAGAGATGGAAAATTGGAGGAACGAAAAGTAATTAAAATAATAGTAATAATTATGACAGAATTTGTAAACTACACAGCACATATTGAAGATAGCTACTTATAATGGTGATCTTCAAAAACTCCCTTTCAGTTTCTACATCTACATTTAAATAACTCATTAAGATTAATGGAATTGCATAACTGAGAAACAAACTGACGGGAAAAAATAAATTTATTCGTGCCTATGGGTATCTTTTAATGACATGCAGACGAAAACATTTCATAAATTCTAAATGTATTTTACTAGAAAAAGTTCTGATCATTTAAAAATATCCGCTGAAATATAAACCTTCTAGAAGCGATGCAGGACATGGGGAAAACATGAATCGTTTCAGTTCACTACACTTTTATAGTTATGATGAAATGAAATCATTTAGTTAAATCTAAAAGCATCAGAAATAAAAATATCGCTTATAGTTCAAAAAGCTGACTTTATGAATATATCCACACTAGAACTGACGAAGTCTAAGGACAGGGGGTACGAGGGAATTCTAAACAATGAATGAAGAATGGATTCATCCAGGCTCTTGCTAACAATTTTGATAAACTTTACTCTCGGACACCACCTGCTAGCTACAGTTCAAACAATGATCTTAACTAGCAACAGTGGACCTTCTGATAAACCGCAACACATCAGTCAGTGACTTTGTGAGGTGATCCCCTACTTCTGTTTCAGACCCACCAGTCTTCTCCTATCCTGAGCCATCATAGCTCGCTGTATTAAGTGGTTGATAGGTTTAAGAACATGAATCCCTGGCACCTCATTCGACAAAAACCCATAACTTTATTTCCAAGTGTGATACATTCATCTAGTGTCTGACGATTATTTCTAGCATTATTTACTTTGTCGCTTCAACGTACGTGAGACATACTGTGTAATGTACAGAATACCTATGTATAACGGATAATTTTTAATAAACAAACTAAAATCTGACCTGGGCCTCAGATGGTGCAATGTGATAGAAGCCGAACTGGTATCTTGTATCTTTGGTGAAATTTTGTCAACTAGTGAGACATAATTGTTTCACATAGTAAACTTATGAATATGTAAGTCATATTGGAACATAATTTTAAAACATTTTGTTTCGATTTAGGATACAAGTTCGAAACCTAACATCAATAGTTATTTTGTTGTAATCTTCTACCTTACATGTAAAAAAATATATTTGGCAACCATGGCTTACCTGGTTTACTATCTGGTCAGACTCCTTGACTCCGTAACCTTTTAGTATGAGCAAATACCGCAGGCACTCTTCAATAAACACTGTAGATCCTTCAGCTAAAATACCATTAGATATTTTTCGCGTCTCAGAAGAGTAACCCAGTATGTTCAAAAATGTACATGCTAGATCAGGAGACGTTTTTTCCGATAATCTGTAAGATGTTAGGAGTAAAATGTTTTCAGGTTACTAACATTAATTAATTAGGAAACAAACAGTGAAAACGATTTTTTAAAGAAACTTGTCAGGATTGCTGTTCATTGTTTAGCTTTGATGAACTCAAAATGCCTTAAATCACAGAAGAAAAAGAAAAAGGGGTTCAGAGAAACAAAAAGCTTATTCTACAAAAGATTGTAACTAAGAACCGCTGCATTAACATATTCGGGAAGGAGAAATCTATGGGTTAAATTTAACTGAAATTACTTACTGTGAATGGTTGTAACAAACTAGTATTTAAAAACATAGCGTTCAAATGAACTCTCAAAGCCATAGAGACAAACTAAATGCTATCCGGTTAGGTCACACTATCTTGTGAAACTGCATTAGTAGTCACCAAACGAAGTTGCTCCAAAATACTCACAGGATAAAAGCAATTAACCTCCTAGAGAATTGAGTTACGGTAAACCAATTTTAAATAGGTAATATACTTGTCTAAAATCTTGATAAGTCAGCAGGAATTTTTTATCCAGCAGCAGAAAAATACATATGAATTATCTAAAGTAAGGGGAGCTAAGAAGACCATGAAGTATTTTTTCTAAGCTTCATTAACAAAAATGGTTTATTATGTTCACTGGCTCGTCTTCTAAACACCTTTAATTCACAGTAATCCACATCCAGAAGTCTTATCTTTGTACTCGAAAGAAGTTCGTAAAGCCCCTTCCCCTACCTGGCCTATCTACGTAGAGCATTTAAAAGAGAGTAAGTCAACACTCACAAATTTTATAAGATTTTCGATAACGCTAGTGTTCCTACATAATTTTAATATTTATCGATTCTTAATCAATTCTACCATTGTGGTGCGTGTTACTTATGTCAACAGAAATAAGCAGTATGCAACAACGATCGAAAGTAGAAAACCAGCAAGCACATTGTTGAGACGATCAAATCAAAGAGAACGAGGACAGGGAGTAATTCTTGTGGCAATGGAAAAACGATGAAGTTTGAGACAATTGGTGGAGCTTTTGTAAATGAAGTATTGAACGCATGGTTTTTACAATTGATGAAAGGACTCTGTAATTTTGCAAGAAATACATTGATTGTCCCCACCTGTGTTCTTATTCACTAAACTATTACTAAATGTCCGAGTGGGAATTTTTGTTTCGTTCATAAAGCTAAAATTGTATTTCAACTGTACGAGATGTAAAAGTATGATATCATATGAGATATTAAAATTAATAATATTTGATAACTTTTATGACACCAAAATACTAATTACAGTCAAAAACAAACCTCTAAGAGTCGGGTGAATGTAATATAATTAAATTTTACTAGATTTAAACCATATTCAAATAATATCTGATAATCAACACAACAGTTAGATATGCTAGATTAAAACTATTTTTAATATCAATCCATTTGATGACAGAAAATTACCCCCTGATACAATCATGTGAAATAAATATTATTTGTTGTCAATACAACCAATTTGACCAACAAGTATAAGTAATTTCAACAAACACGTGCACAATCAAATTACGCGTTTAACAGGACGTGCGAAACCTTAAACAATAATAAATGGCCGGACATTAGATCGTAAATTAAAGCCGGTTTCGAATTAGCACTTTTTCCAATATTAAACAAAAGTTGGTACCCTAATAAGCATAGAATGTAAATGTCTTATTTTTGAGGGCTTGTGGAAACAATACGCTTACCCTGAACTAACAGGTCATGAATAAGAAGAAAAAGCATTTAGTGCACTAAAACGTCACTAAGAATAACTAAAACACCCAAACAAATGTGCGGATATTTTAATATCCAACACTGTCTGGTTTATGATGTTTAGAAACGTACAGTGGTCATACTCCACAAAACTTGTGAACGTGTAATTCTAATTTAAAGGAAGTAGTTGTCAAAGACTAACCTTATTTTCGGGTCCTCTTAGAACCAAATAGCATAAGACAGCCATTTCATTCTAACACGGAACGTTTAGTGGTGAAAACAAAATAGTTTGTTGTGGATGGGTTTCTGTAATGGGCATCAAAAAACGACCGTTTGTTTCCAGAAATTTACATTTGTTCTACATGTAAAAAGATCCGCATGGAGTTTGCATGAAACTTGGATATTCTGCCTACCACTTCTTAGCTGATTATTTGCTAAATTTTAACTTCACTATAGATTATGAGAGTTTTACATCTATTTTGTCATAAGTACTATCAAAATGGTGTTGTTTTTCTATTGCAATCTAAATGTCCATACGAAAATAATGACATTTTACCGTAAAAATCAGGATAGAAAGTGTCCAAATTAAAACTTTTATAGCACCTTGAAACTACTTTAGCCAATAAACTGCCCATAGTAAATATATTCCTCGATTTTTCTTAAAACTAGGCCTAAATATTTTTAGTTTGTTTTAAAAAATAGTGTAACGGCAAACTGACTTCATTAAACTTATATTCGAAACTCAACTCTTACAAAACCAAACCTGAGTAAATTTAACACTACAAAGATTGTTACCTAACCTTTTAAATAAGTACAAAGTTTCAAATTCTAAACAAAGTTTGGCAAAATCACTGAAGATTCAGTTTTTTATTGCGTACAGGTCTGTTACTTATTATAATATCAGTGTTCATTATGTTTATTCCATAATCCCGCACGATTCATGAGTTCTGGGTGCATTTTAGAAATCGACTTGTAAATCTTGAGATAACCAGATTGAAAACTGTTCCATGACCACCACTAATTATCCAGTATCAGACAGCCTGAAACATGATAACGGTTTGACTTATTTGATGGTTATATCTCGTAAAAATAGTAGACATAATATAACAAAAGCATAACATGCATTTAATTTCCTGTGGAGTTCATGTTTATATCACTAACTATAAAGATATGATAATGTTAGCCCCAGTGTTTTGATGGCAAAACAAACAATAAAAACCCTTTCTATCTCAAGAGTACCTCAGAATTTATATAAAATACCAGAAACAATGATTTACCTTATGTAGACTTTCTCACACCATTCAGCCCAACGGGGATGTACATTGATAAAACTCCCATCTTTGTCAATAATAACCAGTTTAAACTTTTGATTTGACAGCTTTTGATGTAACACGTTGTTACCGAGCAAAATTTGTTTGATTGGTAGATTAAGATCAGGCAACACGATTGGCAATATATGACCAACAGATGGCACAATATGTAACTTAGGTTTTGAATGGTATGATTTAACCTCGTTTAAATTACTTTTACCCTCAATTTCAGAATGCTTAAGCCAGGTTTCCTCCAAACCATTTTGTTGACCGATTCCACTAAGAACACCAATACATAAACCTAGATTAGCATTCTTTGAGTAAAATGTAAAAAGGGAATTATCATACCTCAAATATTTTGAAGCATTTATTAAGAATGATGTATTATACTGTGAAAGGTACATGAGTTATGCTAAGAAGTTCAGATAGGTTTATTATCTGCCTGGTCAATTCGTACAACAGTTGTTCTAAGACTAGCGTTTGTGAGTTTAATGTAATAGTGACACCTTTTGTCCTTCTAGGAGCTAACTAACAAACGTTTAGGACTTGGTTTTATAAGAGCTTTGTCACCTTTTATTGAATGTTAATTAATCCTGTAGTAATACATCTTGCTCACCTACAAACAGAACAAATTTGTATTGTTAAAAAACTAGAAACACAAAAATAATGCGAAGAGTATACTGCTTATGTTTTTTGAAATTAAACCATTTCAGACAAAAATTGAATAAAAATGTTAGAGGCCGATCATTTTCACCTGAATTTCTTGAGTTGCAATTAATAATATTGCTCGACATGTAAAACTGACTTGTTTTCAAACCACAACTTACTTTTGCAAAAGCAATGTCCGTTGAGGTATCTCCTATCATAACTGTTTCTTCAGGTGACACATGGAGTTCCTTACATATGAATTCCGCGTTATCTGGATGCGGTTTCGGAAGTCTACCAGGGTCATCACCGCACACAATAACATCTAATAGATGTAAAATATCTAAAACTGCCAGAGCTTGTACTGTCCCTACAATTATTTAAAAGTAAACCACATTAGTTTCTTCCAATTTAAATGACACACAAAACTTAATTGACGGTCTAGTAATACATTGTTTTATTTTACTCTTGAAAGCCAAGAACTATCAGACTTATTATTTCTTTTTAATACAGCCAAATATTGCTAAGGAAAGCGTTATTTACTTGGTTTTTAACCTTTTTAATTTTCCGCTATGATTCATGTAAACGGTTTAGTTCCTTTTAATTTATATTGCTAAAAGCTTTAAACTTTTGAAATGACTGAAATATCGTATATTCACAGTTTCGACTAAGAAACTCAAATCCTGGTCGATGACTGTTTTCAGAAAACCTAATTTTAACAATTGTTGTATTCTGTATCAAACGTGTGCAAAGTTTAGATACAAAACTTTTTCAGTTGTTGAAAAGTTAATAAACAGCTCACCAATATCATTATTCTAAAGTCTTGCCACTATTTTGTTAGTAATTTTTATTTCCCTTACTCTACATTTATCTTTGTTGGTAACGTTATCATGAAATAGCTGAGACTTGGGACTGAAAACTAAGAGCTTGTCGGAACGATATTGCTTTCAATGTTCAAATATTTTAAGATCTTTGTCATAAATCGTGTTGATATGCCTACACTACGAAAGATATTCAAGTGTTCACTACTACAACAAACCATGACCAACATGCTAAAATTACTTGCTCTTGTTCTTGTATCTCCAATTATACAGTGATTTACCCACCATCAAAACAGTAAATACCTCCTGTTACAGGATCGACTTACCTTTGCGACTGTCGGAAGTGCAAATAGCGGTCTTGATTGAGTGCTGTCTCAAAGTAGTTAACATGCTTTTCATATCAGTCAACTGAACAATGTGCTCAGGTGAAAGTGATAATGCTTTTACATGCCTAGACACAATGGACTGAGCCATTCTTTTTGTAATGTCGTGAGAAACTAACAAGTTTGTCAGAGCGATTATTATTTGTTCTTCAGTACCTTCAGCTAAAACACCTTTAAAAAGGTCAGAATTAAAATGAAAAAAATTAAAACCTGGATTGATAATGTGCGTTTTTGGGCAGCACCCAAGAGTAGTCAATATCTCGAAACCTATATCTCGAGCAATGTCACTAGAAATGCTTTATCATTGTGGCAGATAAATAGGTATTTATATAGTGACAGTACTTTTTTGCAATAGTCCGTGCCCAAGGCATCCACATTGAGTTAAAGCAAATAATAGTTCCATCTTTATCAAAAATAACTGCCTTGTACATTGGCTTTCTAGCTGAAACTAAGTACGTTGATGGATCTAAAAAACCATCGGGCCTAACAAAACATTGTATGATGTTGAATGGTGATTTGAATGTACACAGATGAGTTTGACAAACGACCAAAACATCATTGTACGAATATCGTTTATAAGCTTTCGATATTAAATTCGTAGCTTTTCTGAAAAGCTTCATATCTACAGCGATGCCCTCTTCACGCAAAGTATCTACTGAGATTTAAATTAAAAGAATTATCTTGTGTGGTCTGTAAAAATGTAAAAATAAATAAACACAACATTGAAGCACCAAAGTACTTAACATCCTATCCAATGCATTTGCTTTAAAACATGCAATACACGCGTGTGAATGAAAAAATGTTTATTTCAGAGCGCAAACACCAGGACTATTTTATATGTTTGACAAAAATGCAAGGTCTCATTATGATACTTTGAAAATTTAAAACAAATAAAATCTCGAAGAAATTAATGAGTATGATTAAACTTATATAAAACAACTATTTTGTTTAGTTCTTCACGCTTAAAAGTCTGTTTCTAGGATAACTTGTACTTTCTCAGCTTTCAAATGACTTTGTAGTAAGAAATAAAAGCTAGCTTGTAATTTTATTTAAGCGACCTTCAGACATTCGCCACAAGGCGACCACTCGATATTTGAAGTCTCCCAGATAGGTGGCGTGTATGTTGTATACTTCAGTTTACTTGCATATATATCCAGCTTATGTGTAACACGTAAGCTAACATGCGTTCGTGGACTTACGAGGATTATCACTAATGGTCTCCAGCACTTTCGTAATATTTCGTTTTATAAACGACTGTCACAACCACCAAAGCGGCAACATCATTTTTGTTCTTCCATCACGGCACCTAGAGTACAGAGTTTAAATCAGGGCTTTTCGATTTTTACAGTACGTTGTAGCAGTGAACTGCGTAGTCAACTACTTTGATAGCAGTTCACAGAGCATAAACTACGGTTACGAACGAGGAAGGCCAATTTTCTTTATGAAGTAACCTGTTTGTAAAAAACAATGTTACTGATGGCCGTGTGTTTCAAAACTAAGCAATTTTCCACATCAACATCCTTCCACATAAATGCAGTATTCTGGTTCACGCTCATTAATAACTCACGTACTTGACATTACTGTCATCTTATCACTTGGTACAGTAATTTACCATCCGAAACGTATAACGACTGCAACAATAACACAGACAGTTCCACGGGAATACCTTAAGCTAGCTATTATGCTATATCGAGGTTTCGCTCTGAAATGCACAATACGGACAAAGGTATTTCCATTTTCAAGCCATGTATAGCACTCTATATACCTTTACCACTACTACGTTTATTCAATTATTAGATTTCATATCTATTGTTTTTGGAATATGTGAATTAAAAATAAGCGTTTTTTATTTTGGGGAAAAACCTATTGTACGTGGATTACGATTATCCGCTTTTAGTTTAAAGTCTAAAATTTATTATGCTCTTTCCTCGACTGAAGCTAACAGATAATAATAACAAATAACAAAAACATCGTCCCATGATAACGAGTGGATCTTACATATGTGCCGATTGGTGAGACCCTTTTACATACTTCAAAATGTGGATTTATGAATGAGTAACATAAAACCGGACAATAGACTCAACGTGAGCTGTCTGACAAAATAAATTTTCTTGGACATTTCACAGATGTCGATTGATGGCGAAACAGATCTTGTTAACTTCTAAGGAAAATTGTTGAATTCATAACTACTTTAGAAAGTACCATTACCAGAATCAGGCTTCATAATTTTAAATGAACTGAGAATTAGGCAGTTTGTGGACACTTGTAGAAGTTACTCCCTTTTTAGACTCCAGGATGTGTTGACCCGCTAACAGTATGTTTCATTGGGAGCTATTTCTCTTGGTATCACCGATAATTTACTTCGGAAGACAGGACACCAGTTATTGGGAAAAGCGTGTACTGTTATTAATTAGGGAAATCCATAATCACGCGATTGGAAAGCGAACCAGAGATCGAGTGAGTAAACGTGTGCTAAACCATGTTCATTTTATGTGCTAACCGATACACAGATGACGCTATTGATTTTGTTTGTTCACAATAATGAGATAGTAAATAAAGACTGAGAAGCACACATGCGTTCAATCAAGCTGAGATATTCGCATACAAAGAGGATTAGATGTCTAAATTTCAGTAAATATGTGATGGAGATATTCAGGAAGTTTTTTATAGACAGTATATATATAGACAATGAGACTGTGCAATATCTGAATAATGTTAAACTGAGTCTGTACAATCAATAGGTACCTGAAAGTCAGGAAAAACCGGCTGAATTGGCTATAAGGTTGAGCGATCGTTTGTGACTTTACTCACAAGGTGAGTGGTCTTACTTTTCAATGACAGTAAATGTTTTTAGTTACCGAACTTCCTTTTATGATTAGTCAGCATAGGGAATCAGTAACATCATCGTTTTCATTATTTTTTCGTGATTATTCTTTTTTCTTCAAATGCCAACCCGTTAGCACGTCGAAAAATAGTCATTTCTGAATGAGTCAATCGGCGTTATTGATGTCCTATAATTTTCAGGTTGGGCTCTTTTAGTCATCTACGCAACATGGATGTGATATATTATTCATAACAAAAGAAGTTTCGAGAAACCTTCCTAATAATTATCTTTATTATAAAAAACATAGCTCAAACTTAATGATTATTTTTCAACCAAAAGAATGCTCTTAACAGAAGAGGGAGATATTCGATGCCTAGTTATGTAAAAGACATCACTCAGCTTAAAATCAGAGATATATATTCAACTAAACACACTGATTAAGTGTGAACAATGCTTTAAACGAATACGTCAACACCGTAACAAAGTAGGAATTAATAAATAGAACAAAACACCAGATAAAAGCAATTCTTTCCAAGCTCATTTAAAACGGACAACTTGGTCTTGAAAAATAAATACATGAAAGTAAAGCATGAGATCTGGGCCAAGGCAAAACAAATGAGGTTTAGCAAACTTATATGAAAGTCCCTCCTTATCCTTGTGCAGGAAAACATCGAAAACATTTGCTTGATCTTCCGATTACGTCGACGATGAATGATTGAAATATGAAAACAACTCAGATTAGTCAGAGTTTGCTAAATATACAGATCTGCCTTGCATTACAACATAGAAGTGAACATATGCTCAAAGACTCCAAGGAACTACATTCAGGATAGACTATGTTAAACCATGTTACCACATTAAAGTTGGTATTGCGACACACTGAGGCTAGATCCTTACATCGGAACCACTCAATGATCACAATTTTTCATCCACGAACAGCTTCCGTTCTGAACGACTTGTTTCATACTTAGTATTTCTTTTTTGAAATACTGTATTTACATTTGTTTGAAACAGATGAACATCTTACTGATTTGAGGTTCGAAATTTACAAGATCCCGCTCACTTATTAATGACCTCGCATTATTGGGGACTGAAGACACTTCGGGTCGTAAGTGAGCAAGTGGAGCGACGGTAAATTCTACTGATATGCACACGTGATGGCGAGGGTGATGATATTAGACTACATATGTCTGTGGGGCAAAATACTTTATTCGTCTCAGACCCTTTATGCTTAGACACGATGAGATTATTCAACGATATTTATTTTTTGTTCTTATTTTAGTTCATTTTTAATAGCTACAAACTTACTGAGTATTCTAATTAGATAACTGTGTTTAATACCTAGACGCCATATCACCACCATTTTTCTGTCACGTTATCTCGCCTGACTTGTTGATGGAATTTTTTGTAGACATAACTGACAGCGATCTAATAATACTTCACATAAAGCGCTTGAATGGTCAGGTTCTGTAGAATCTAACTACATCTATACGGAATGTTATCAACATTGTGCCTCGGTATTTCGTCTGTCGAAATTCGACTGGGAGTAATGGTCATTCAATGTGAAAATAACATTGATTAAAGGGCAACTGATTTTCCTCAATGAGGTTTGGTACCAAAATACTGAAGTTTCGTAGTCCGTTCGCTCGTTTAGTCTTGGCAAAAAATTATGTCGGTGAATTTACAATTATAGCAAATAAACTCTTGATTTGATCACATGATTTGTTTGGCCTTGACAGTGTTTGAGGTTACAAATTTTTCAAGTATTTGTACTTCAACCATCTTAAGATTTGTATATTGGATATAAGGACCAGTATCCTCAGTATAACTAGTTGAGGAGCCTGTACTTCTTCAGTGTTAAACGACAGCCCCGATGCACTTGTTTGCGTCACCCTAATATTTCAATCGACAGAGAAATCACGTTTAACTGCTGAGAAGTACTAGCTAATTAACAAATGGAGTTTTATTTGTCTAAATGAAAGAATTCTCGGCCATAATAATGTGCCAACTCCAATGACAGTATTTTCGGGTGCTACTCGCTGAGTTTTTCACTTCCACAAACTGAGCAAAGCCTGGACCGGAAAAACATAACTTTGTGATCTAGCTCCGGACTGTTAAATGTCTGAGTACCACAAAATATATCTTCAGACTAACATGCAGAAAGTAAATGACGTAAAAAATGAGTACTGGAGGAAAAATTAAGGGGGACGGTCAAAGGTCAGACAGCATTATGGAACAAATGAACCTGGTAATAAGCGTTACTAAGTTCAGCCTTCACTGTTGGTAGGCTTACGATCAGATTGTGAGAATAAAAGAATATGAGTTCAACCCTCCACTGACTCCCGAAACAAGAAATCAAAAAGAAAAATTAATCAAAATGTAAATTTATTAACAGCAACAAAAATCTCGCACACAACAGACGAGCGATTTAAAAATCATCAATTTATTAAAATTTATCTGCCGCCTTTTAAGGTGACGACCGGTTCATACAGACAGTTGTTAAAATTAGCAGGAAGAATGCTGACATCTGCGCTATTACAAAAGAGATGGTGAATTTTCGTCATCATAAAGACGATGTTCAACAAACAGCTGTGTCCGCTGGCTACAGTTGCCATTAACACGTGACGACTTGACTTTTCGTGTCGAAGTGTTTGGAGTTTGGGAATCTGAAGGGTTTCATGCAGTCTCCAGATGACTTACCATATTTATTGTGGTACCAATACCAATCAGGACTAGCTGTCTTTAGTGGTCTGGAGACAGGTCATTTTCGCATCGAGCTTCTTCGAGGAGTTTGAGGGCATCTACGATTATGATGAATGTTAAGATAACGAATGAGAGCATTGCAGATTGATGTAATATGATTTTGTGCTATTCGAGGCTTTCTTTGACAGGATAAGCCTCGGCGTTGGGAGTTCTGGTGATTTCAAGAATCCAATTGCCTGATGCAGCCAGCTAATCTACAGCTTCATTTTGAAATGAGACAAGGACTGCCTGCACATTTTGGTGAAGCTTATACAAGAAAAGTTGTATAAAAAGGCCCC